TGCTTGGAAGAAGGAATACGAAGGGCTGCCCCACTGTTGGTGGACCTTTCAGAGCCTGAAATCTGCTGCCAGGGATGGATGGGACACAGGGACCTTTCCCATTGCATCCTGTCCATTCTCCCAGCTCCCAGCAGTATGAAGGTGGTGGCAGGAAGTGTTGTCTCCCCAAGGGGGAGTTCAGGAGTTCAGAGCCAGCCCCTGCCGCTCCAGCCCCTCTATTTTGCTGCTGCAGGTGAAGAAATCAGCTAAGAAGTTGCAGCCACAAAACACAGAGCCCGTGAAGAGACCCAGCCAGAAGGAGAAGAAAGGGCGCCCTGAGGAGAAGTCCCGATCCAGGTCAGCACTCACTTAGCCTGTCTGCCCTAGCTCCCCGAGGCCCATCCTGGTCCCCAGGTCCTCACTCCTCCTTGGAGGGGCCCAGCTTCCAAATTTAGTTGGTAAACAGATCCTGTTGAAGTGTCCTCTGTTCAGGATTGTGGTCTTTGGGGTGTTCCAGACATCAAGTGAATGGGGGCCAGGGATGCTGCTCAACACAGCATAGTATGCAGGATGGCCCCCCACAGAGAATAACCTGGCCCTGATGTCAGTAGTGCCAAAGGGGGACCTGTCCCCAGACCAGTGGTTCTCAGGCTTTTTAAGTCCAAGACCCACTGAGGTGTGGGGCCAGCACATCTCCCTGACATTTTGAAGTGGAATTCCAGCCACTGGTTGGAATCTGCCCACTGGGAACTTGCAGCCTGACTGCCGAGTAGAGTATAGAACTGGAACCATGTTAACGAGTGTTGCTGTTGTCTGTGAGTGTCCAAGTGGAGCGCCTTTTAATAACTCATTCACTGGGTCTTACATACTAGACATTACCCCGCAGCCACATATTAAAAAAAAAAGAACTTTGAGATTTCACATGGTTTGTCCTAGGTGCCTGTCTTAGACCAGGTCATGATGACCCCTGACCCCTCCGCACAGCTTTGGGGCCTCCTGAAGGTTTTCTTCTGTAGCTCCCGGCCCTTAGTGGGGAGGATGGCAGTGGTTGGGGCAGGGTGGCTTCGTGGATGTTGGTCAGAGGCCTAAAGGGATTGAGTCTTCACAGGCCCATGAAGGTGGAACGAACCCGGAAGCGGTCAGAAGGGTTCCCATCCGACAGGAAGGTTGAGAAGAAGAAAGGTGAGGGCTCAGCTGTCACAGTCGCTGCCAAGGTCTTGCAGCCCACAGTTGCTGAGGTTGGGAGGGGGGCAGATTCTTCTGTCACGTAGTGGTGCTCAGGCCCTTGGCCAAGTCTGGGCTTGGGAGCTGAGGCCCAGGCAGTGCGTTCTCTCCTGGCCACAGAACCTTCCGTGGAGGAGAAGCTTCAGAAACTGCACAGCGAGATCAAGTTCGCCCTAAAGGTCGATAATCCGGTAAGACACACCTTGGGGTCATGAGGAGCCACTTTCCCTGATGAAGCAGTCCCTGCCACCCCTGCATGTCTAGAGCTCCCTTAGAAGTCTCCAGGAATTGAGGGAAATCCAGGGTTCCTTGGGGTGGATGGGGCGGGGTGGGGCAGGATTCATTGTTTTTATTGTGTGTCCCCTAGCTGAGGGCCATCCTGATGTGCAGTGCTCAGTGTCCCTGCCAGCTGGTGCTGTGGGCAGGCCCCAAGATCCCTCCAAATCTGGGTCTTTCTGCAGCTCTTTCCAAAGGGAAAGCCCTGAGGTGTCCTACTCTGACCTATTGGGTCGCCTAGGTGCTGTCCCTCCTTACTTCTTACTTTCCCACCCTCAGGATGTGAAGAGGTGTTTGAACGCACTAGAGGAGCTCGGGACCCTGCAGGTGACCTCGCATATTCTCCAGAAGAACACTGATGTGGTGGCCACGTTGAAAAAGGTACAGTTGGAGGCCCAGGGTTGGAAGCAGGCCGGGGTCTAGCCACAGCTGCCCTTGGTCAGTGAGGAGAGGGCCAGTGGACTGCCCAGGGGTGTGCCAGCCTCCGTGGGAGGTGCCCAGATGGTGGCAGCAATAGGGAGGGTCTCAGGGCGGGGAGGGGGGGTGAGGCCGACTACACTCCCTGAGCCAGGCCTCTTGGCGGGCAGATTCGCCGTTACAAGGCCAACAAGGAGGTGATGGAGAAGGCTGCGGAGGTCTACACCCGGCTCAAGTCTCGGGTCCTGGGACCAAAGATTGAGGCCATTCAGAAGGCAACCAGGACCGGAGCGGAGAAGGAGCCAGCGGAGGCAGAGAAGCCTGAGGAGGCTCCGGTTGGAGAGGAGGCCCCGTCGGAGAGGGCGGAGGATGAGGCCAGTGCTGGTGAGCTGGGTGGGCGCCTCCCCTGATGACAGTGGTGGTGTGTCCTGTGCTCTCTGCGGAGGCCTGGCTTTGTCCCCAAGGCAGCTCGTGGCTGGTACACGCGCACACCTCTGCCCCTCACGGTCTCTGGACTCTCAGAGTCAGGCAGTGTAGGAGGGTGTGTGTGTGTGTGTGTGCGTGCGCGCGCGCCAAGTGTGTGTGAGCCAAGTGAGGCACAGGCCTTGGGCTGCAGCTGGAGGGTCATGGGTGAGCTGAGAGGAAAAAGGATGTTTCCAGCAGGGACAGTGGCCTTTGGGAGCAGGAGGTGTTCCTGCTGGCGTCACCTGGTCCTCATGACAGATGCTTAGAGTAGCCCTTCAGACTGGTGTTAAATTGGCTCGGCTGAAGAAGCCTCAGCAGCCTGGGGGCTAGCCCAGCGGGGTGTTTCCTCTGTCCCAGCCTCAGCACTCATTTACTGGCCCCTCCCTTCTTCAGGGGCCTGGGCTGGCTGCAGAAGCACATGCAGCCAGCCGTGGCCTGGTGGAGCTGGCAGTCCCCATGCGACTGGGAGGCACGGAGGTAGAGGTGATTGTGGACACATGGGGCCAGGGTCCTTCAGGGGTATCGAGGGTCCCCTGTCCCAAAGCTGGCTTGCTCTCCCACCTGCTCTCAATGGGGAGGGGACAGGGGTCCTGGGCAATAGCACCACAGTGTCGTATGACCCCTTTCCCTCCCCCAGATCTCTCAGCCTCAGTGAATGGTGAGGCCACATCCCAGAAGGGTGGGAGCACGGAGGACAAGGAACAGGAGGAAGGACAGAACTTGGAAGAGGGGCCAGTGGGGGGCTCCTCTGAAGACTTGTTACACAATGAGTAAGTGTCCCTGGGGGCTGTGGCACTGGGGGAGACTTTCTAAGAAAGCAGGGGAGGGGGGCAACTTGCTGAGAAGGCACCCTGATGTCTGGGCTGCTTATCCTGGTCAGGGTCCCAGAGACTTGGCCCCCATGTGCTGGCCTCCCATCCCCTACCTTGGTAACAGACCCCTGAGGACGCCCCAGGCGAGGGCGCTGAGCTGCCCTGGGTCAGATCCTAGAGACAGTGGCTTCCTCCCAACTCTCCAGGAGTGGGTGCAGGCAGTCTCTCACAAGCACCCTCGAGTGTGGTGTGCGGCCTGCTGAGAACCCCAGACCATTCAACACACACCCACTGCATTGGGCACGGTGGGATGGGCCTAGGGCTTTTAGTTTGGCAGTGGTAGACGGAGACAGACAGAAAGGCAGTTTGCTCACCCCCACCGTGCTGTGCTTCACCAGCAGCGCGAGGGAGGGCCCCGACCTGGACGGGCCAGGGAAGGACCGGCAGGAGCGCCAGAGGGCGCACGTGGACTCTGAGTCCCTGGACGACGAGGACAGCTGAGCCCCGGGCAGCCCGGCGGCCAGGCCCCGCCCGTCATGTAGATGCCCGTAGGCCTGCCCCACTCCTTCCCGGCCGCCCAGGGAGCAGAGAACTGTTGGGGAGATGCTGTGCTCTTCATTTGTATTTGTCCCTCGGGGTTTTTTTTCTGCCCAATTTCTGTGATTTCCAACCGACATGAAATGACTATAAAGGGTTTTTTTAATGAAAAAAAAATCACTTTTATTGGCTTGGTTTTCTAGTGTTACTGGTGCAGCTGGGCTAGAATGGGGAGAGGTCTGTAGCTGTCAAGGGCCCTATTGGGGACAAAGGGTTTAAGCCATAGTGTCACCCTATACAGTGAATGTGAGCTTGGTTTTAATGGTGTTCCCCGCCCGGCAGGCCTGATGGTGAAGAAATGGGGTGGGAGCAAGGCCTTTCCAAAACTAATAAAGGAAAAATAAAACTCTCTGAACTTCGAGGCTCAAATGGAAGCTGTGGTTTGATGTCCTGGGTTTGGCTGCCCAGTGCCCAGAAAGGAGAAACAAGAGGCCGGGGGGGCAGGGGGGGCAGGTCCGGGACAGTGGCTACCATGTTCTCCCCAGAAGCCACTGCCTTGCTCCACTGACTCGGTCGTTTTCCCTCTTGCCCAGACTGCAGGTGGCACTGCGAGCCCCCCTCCCCTCACCCCCCCAAGTCAAGAACCAGTGTGCTTGGCACTGCCAGTTCAGGGCATTCAGGCCAGGAAGTGTCCTGTGGATTGTTTCCTTTACACATTCAGAGAGTGTAAGCACTGGGGGCAGGCCTCCCTGTGTGACATTGGGCAAGTGGCACTCCCGCTCTGGGCTGCTCTTTTCTCACCTGGACAGGGGCTGACTAGCCTCACAGCGAGTCTTGTGGATTTAGATGGAGGATGTGTGTGTGACTCCCAGCCAGGCACCTGCCCTCGGCAGTTTCTGGCTAAACAGTGGCCCCCTCTGTGTCCCCCTGTCCTGTGTGAGCCCACCATCCTAGCTGAGAGGGAGACTGGTATGGCAGGGATTTCCTGAGACCTGCCTGCCCCCCATTTGGTTTGGCTGGACTTGAAGTCAGGTCACTTTGCTGGGTTTCTGTGAATAGCTGAATTCCCGGTGTCTTCACCTCTGATAACCTTATGTGTTGGAGATCGAGGAAAGAAAGTCTCGGAAGGTTCACTGACTGGTTCTTTCGTCAAGCCAGGTGCCAGCACCCCAGTGCAGAGTCCCTCTCAGATGCTGGTAGCCTTTGGTAACCCTTAGGGAGAGTGAGCCCGTTCATCCTTGAGCTCAGAGCACCTGACCATTTCTGAGAAGAGGGTGCAGTGTGGGGGCGTGCTCTCGGCATGGTGCAGGTTCTGGGAAGATGGAAGCTGGACCCGGCTTGGGCTGCTGGTGTTCTGATGTCCAGCTCCCAGATGGAGAGAGGCCTAGGCCAGTGAGGGGGAATTTCTTGGATGAACATCCTGAGTTTTCACATCTGGGGGCAGGGGCAGGAGGGCCTGGGGTTGCAGGGATGCTCCCACCATTGCAGGCCCTGTCTCCAGCCTGGAGCAAGTTCCAAGACCTGAAGGATCACTCAGCACCTTTTGTCCCATCCTCCCTGGGGCCCTGCCCCTGTGGGGAAGCCCTTTCATTCCGCCATAGGCAGCCTCTGGGCTCAGATGCCCCAGGGACCAGAACCTCAGCTCTGTGATCCTGTGATTGGCCCGTAGGACAGGGCAGGTGGGCAAGCAGAAGAGGCAGGAAGGGACTTGATTTGTAGCCCCCCAAAGCCCCTCTAAACAATGCAGTCCCCCAAAGCCCTTTATCTAGGCCACATTCAGCAAAGGCAGTTGGGAGCCTGCCTCCGGATGGTGGTGGCATTCTGGTACATTGTGATGCAAGGTGTTTGCTAGGTCTGGGGTAGGTGCTTTCAAAGTGAGTACAGAGGAGCAGGACTACCTGCTAAGCTGGTAGCTGATGGCCCAGACTGGGGTGGAAGACCCCCATCCCCTGCAAAGATGATGGGGCTCCTAGTGGGGACTGCTAGGAGAATCTTCTAGACTCAGGCACATTTCACTTCTCTTTCGTAACTGGAGTGCTTGCTCAGGTTCTTCAAGTGCAGGCCCTCTGTCAATGGTCTTAGCAACCCTGGGCTCCTAGGCCAGCCATGCTTGGGAAGAAAGGTAGATGGGGCAGTCCCAGAGCTTCAGGGAGTTGGGGCTGGGGAGGCTCTGAGAAGGACCTACAGTTGCTGCCCACTAGGGTGCAAGTTAAAGGGCCCCACCAGCCAGCTGAGCGGGGGGCTATGCTGCACGCTTTCCAGCAGCTTCTCCAGCCCTTGCCAGGCCTGGCCTACACTCTCACGGCTCTGAGCCAGGCGCTCGGCTGGCAGCTCAGCAATGGAGCTGGCAGAAGAGACGACACCATACAGCTCACAGAGGCTGTGCCTCGCCTGCCTGACCCGCTGCTGGAGCTCGGCTGGGAGACCTTGGAGGCTGGAGGCTAGGGTGCTGTAAGCCACGTGGAGCTGCTGGATGAGTCCACACGTCCTGGACAGAGCCCCCAAGTCTGACACCTGCAGGAAGAGGGGGAGAGGTGAGCAGGGGTCAGAGAGGAGAAGACCCTGGGAGCCTTGTCTTGTACGTACCTCTTGGGTACCGGCTTTATCTGTCCATGGCTGTCCTTCTGGAGTCTGCTTGGCCTTTTCAATCTGTAAAGAGCCCAGCAGAGAAATGAGGGCTTTTGGCAAGGACCTTTCTCCTAAGAATGGCCTGAGGAGCTGGGGTGGGTACTCCTTGGCCTGGAGCTGTGTGGCATGGTGGGAGTGCCACAAGTTTAGAGCCAGCTGTCCCTGATAGGCCTGTCTTCTCTTGTAAAGTGGCAATAATCTAAATTCTCATGAGGTCTTCAGGGAGATCAAATAACAGATGATGCAATCTTGTCACCCGCCAATTCTAAGCCCTCATGTGGCTCCCCATTCCCTGTTGGATAAAAAAACACCTCCCTGTGGTCGGCACAATCTGCCCCCAAGGCATCTCAGACCTCATCTCCCACTAACACCCCATCATGATCACTGTACATCACTGAACCCTAGATCCCTGGGCTCCCTCTATCCCGTCCCCACCTTCACTTCATCCTGTCATCCCAGCTGCCTTTCTGTTCCTTGAATACATAGCTTGTTATTGGGCACTCTGGTGTTGTTTTTTAATTGATTTTAGTTTTTAAAAATACGTTTTTATTGATTTTAGAGAGAGAAGAACGGAGAGAGAGAGAGAAACATCAATAAGAGAGAAACATCAATTGACTGCCTCCTGCACACTCCCTACTGGGGATGGAGTTCACAATCCGGACATGTGCCCTGACTGGGAATCAAACCCATGGTTCATAGGTTGATGTTCAACCACTGAGACATCTCGACCAGGCTTACATTGATTTTAGAGAGGAAAGGAGAGAGAGAAAAAAACATTGATTTGTTTCGCTTATTTATACATTCACTAGAGGCCCAGTACACAAAATTCGTGCACGAGGGTGGGGGTGGGGGTCCCCTCGGCCCAGCCTGCAAGCTTTCCAATCCGGGACCCCTTGGGGGACGTCCCTCTCACAATCCTGGACTGCTGGCTCCTAATTGCTCACCTGCCTGCTTGTCTGGTCGCCCCTAACTGCCTCCCCCACCGGCCTAGTCATCCATGCAGCCTGCTTGTTCAGTCGTGTGGTTGTCCCTCACTAACCACCCTGCCGGCCTGGTCGTAGGCAGCCATCTTGTGAGGGTGTGAGGGTTAATTTGCATATCACCTCTTTATTATATAGAATTGGTTGATTCTTATATATGCCCTGACCAGGGATTGAACCTGTAACCTTGGCATATTGGGATGATGCTATAACCAACTGAGCTACCCAGTTAGGACTGGGCACTCTCTTCTTATGGTCTCCACTTCTCCCCAACTCTGCATGGCTCTCTCCTTGGCATTCACAATGTGGCTCAAAGGGGCGCTCTCCTGCCCAGCCCAGACCCTCTCTGTCTGCATGGTTGTCTTGTTTCCTTCTTTGCATCCCTTTTTGTAGGTACAGCATTCCCCTCTTATGGTGGGTTTTTCCACAATTTCAGTTCCTGCAGTCAGCCACTGTTCCAAAATATTAAAGGAAAAACTCCAGAAATAAAAAATTCCTAATTTTTAAATGGCACGCTGTTCTGAATAGTGTGATGAGATCTCAAATGGCCCTGCTCTGTCCCACCAGGGGCGTGACCCATCCCTTTGTCCAGTGTCTCCACTCTGTAGATCCCCCCACCTATTATTCACACAGTAGCTGTATCAGTTATCAAATCAATTATTGGGGTATCACAGTGCTCATGTTCAAGTCACCCTTATTTTACTTAATGCCACAGTAACATCACTTACAATATGTTATAATTGCTCTATTTTATTACTGTTAATCTCTCACTGTGCCTAAATTATAAATTAAACTTTATCATAGGTATGTATGTATAGGAAAAAACAGTATATTTAGGGTTCAGTCTACCCATGGTTTCAGGCATTCACAGGGGGTCTTAGAATGTCTCTCCCAAAGAAATGGGGGACTACTGTATTTGGTTTGGTTGTACATCTCCCTCTCTGGGACACAAGCGCCATGAGATCAATCTATGGGCATCTTAGTGGCTGAGATATCGGGTCACTGCCTGTGGTAGGGGAAACCATGGGGAGATATTCTGAGAAAGGCACCCTGGAGAGGGGAACACTCTTACCAGCCTGATGGAGTCCTCAAGCTGGGCCAGTGTGGCCCTAGCCTGGAACTGGCCATGCTGCAGATGGCTCAGGGTATGCTCGAAAGCCCGCTGGCGAAAGCCGTGGGCCAGGTCACCAAGACGCACGAAGTAACTGCTCTGGTCTGCTGCGGGTACCCTGGGCCCAGGCTCAGAAGCCACCAACTGAGCTGGAAGGGAAGATGGGATTACTCAACCTGAATCCCCTTGTGGCATCCAGATCTTGGGTTGGACAGATGACAAGCACCCACTAGGACCGCTAGTCCTTACCTTGCTCCTCAGCGTTCATGGGGTGGAAGATCCTCAGTTCCTCTGGGAGTGTCATGAAGCCCATGACACCTTCATGGCTGTGCATGGTGGCCATGCACCCCGCATCCTCTGTGCCCAGTGAGGTTCCTTGTGTGAATGCTGCCACAGTGGAACCACGGCTCTGGGTACTTGCAATGGCTTCTGTGGCAAGGACATGGCTGGCACAGAGAGTGTCAGGGAGGCTGGAAACCATGCAGGATGAAGCATCCAGGGGGTTCAGCACAGTTTGTTGCCCAAATTTGTCAATCTCCTGGTCATTGGTGAGTCCACCATAGGAGCTTTCCCCAGCACCAGGTAACCAATTCTGTATAGTGCCCAGACCAATCTGGACAGCGCCCTTGGTGAAACCCATTGCCCCATTGAGGCCAGTGGATACTGTGTCTTTGGTGCCAGTCAAGAAGATCTTGGAGGTGTCCACACTAGTCTGGACAGCACACTTGGCCATACCCATTGCCCCAGTGAGTCCAGTGGACACCGTGTCTTTGGTTCCCTCAAGAACAGTCTTTGAAGTATTTATGCCAGTTTGGGCGGCACCCTTAGCTACACCCATTGCCCCGGTGAGGCCAGAAGACACTGTGTCTTTGGTGCCAGTCAGGATCGTCTTGGAGGTGTCCACACCGGTCTGTATGGCACTCTTTGCTACACCTACTGCACCGGTAAGGCCAGCGGACACTGTGTTTTTGGTGCCAGTCAGGACTGTCTTGGAGGTGTCCATGCCAGTTTGGACGGCACCCTTGGCCATTCCCATTGCTCCAGTTATGCCAGCAGACACTGTGTCTTTGGTGCCAGTCAGGACTGTCTTGGAGGTGTCCATGCCAGTTTGGACGGCACCCTTGGCCATTCCCATTGCTCCAGTTATGCCAGCAGACACTGTGTCTTTGGTGCCAGTCAGGACTGTCTTGGAGGTGTCCATGCCAGTTTGGACGGCACCCTTGGCCATTCCCATTGCTCCAGTTATGCCAGCAGACACTGTGTCTTTGGTGCCAGTCAGGACTGTCTTGGAGGTGTCCATGCCAGTTTGGACGGCACCCTTGGCCATTCCCATTGCTCCAGTTATGCCAGCAGACACTGTGTCTTTGGTGCCAGTCAGGACTGTCTTGGAGGTGTCCATGCCAGTTTGGACGGCACCCTTGGCCATTCCCATTGCTCCAGTTATGCCAGCAGACACTGTGTCTTTGGTGCCAGTCAGGACTGTCTTGGAGGTGTCCATGCCAGTTTGGACGGCACCCTTGGCCATTCCCATTGCTCCAGTTATGCCAGCAGACACTGTGTCTTTGGTGCCAGTCAGGACTGTCTTGGAGGTGTCCATGCCAGTTTGGACGGCACCCTTGGCCATTCCCATTGCTCCAGTTATGCCAGCAGACACTGTGTCTTTGGTGCCAGTCAGGACTGTCTTGGAGGTGTCCATGCCAGTTTGGACGGCACCCTTGGCCATTCCCATTGCTCCAGTTATGCCAGCAGACACTGTGTCTTTGGTGCCAGTCAGGACTGTCTTGGAGGTGTCCATGCCAGTTTGGACGGCACCCTTGGCCATTCCCATTGCTCCAGTTATGCCAGCAGACACTGTGTCTTTGGTGCCAGTCAGGACTGTCTTGGAGGTGTCCATGCCAGTTTGGACGGCACCCTTGGCCATTCCCATTGCTCCAGTTATGCCAGCAGACACTGTGTCTTTGGTGCCAGTCAGGACTGTCTTGGAGGTGTCCATGCCAGTTTGGACGGCACCCTTGGCCATTCCCATTGCTCCAGTTATGCCAGCAGACACTGTGTCTTTGGTGCCAGTCAGGACTGTCTTGGAGGTGTCCATGCCAGTTTGGACGGCACCCTTGGCCATTCCCATTGCTCCAGTTATGCCAGCAGACACTGTGTCTTTGGTGCCAGTCAGGACTGTCTTGGAGGTGTCCATGCCAGTTTGGACGGCACCCTTGGCCATTCCCATTGCTCCAGTTATGCCAGCAGACACTGTGTCTTTGGTGCCAGTCAGGACTGTCTTGGAGGTGTCCATGCCAGTTTGGACGGCACCCTTGGCCATTCCCATTGCTCCAGTTATGCCAGCGGACACTGTGTCTTTGGTGCCAGTCAGGACTGTCTTGGAGGTGTCCATGCCAGTTTGGACGGCACCCTTGGCCATTCCCATTGCTCCAGTTATGCCAGCAGACACTGTGTCTTTGGTGCCAGTCAGGACTGTCTTGGAGGTGTCCATGCCAGTTTGGACGGCACCCTTGGCCATTCCCATTGCTCCAGTTATGCCAGCGAGCACGGTGTCTTTGGTGCCAGTCAGGATGGTCTTGGAGGTGTCCACACCCGTCTGGACAGCACTCTTGGCCACACCTACCGCACCGGTGAGTCCCGTGGACATAGTGTCTTTGGTGCCAGTGAGAACCGTCTTGGTGGTGTCCATGCCAGTTTGCACGGCACCTTTGGCTACGTCCATTGCACCAGAGAGTCCGGTGGACACTGTGTTTTTGGTGCCAGTTAGGATGGTCTTGGAGGTGTCCATGCCAGTCTGGACAGCACTCTTGGCTACACCCACTGCCCCGGTGAGGCCAGTGGACACTGTGTCTTTGGTGCCAGTCAGGATGGTCTTAGAGGTGTCCATTCCAGTTTGGACGGCACCCTTGGCCATTCCTATTGCCCCAGTGAGGCCAGTGGACACTGTGTCTTTGGTGCCAGTCAGGACTGTCTTGGAGGTGTCCATGCCAGTCTGGACAGCACTCTTGGCTACACCCACAGCCCCGGTGAGGCCAGCGGACACTGTGTTTTTGGTGCCAGTCAGGATGGTGTTAGAGGTGTCCACACCCGTCTGGACAGCACTCTTGGCTTCACCCACAGCCCCGGTGACGCCAGCGGACACTGTGTCTATGGTGCCAGTCAGGATGGTCTTGGCGGTGTCCACACCCGTCTGGACAGCACTCTTGGCTTCACCCACAGCCCCGGTGACGCCAGCGGACACTGTGTCTATGGTGCCAGTCAGGATGGTCTTGGCGGTGTCCACACCCGTCTGGACAGCACTCTTGGCTTCACCCACAGCCCCGGTGACGCCAGCGGACACTGTGTCTATGGTGCCAGTCAGGATGGTCTTGGCGGTGTCCACACCCGTCTGGACAGCACTCTTGGCTTCACCCACAGCCCCGGTGACGCCAGCGGACACTGTGTCTATGGTGCCAGTCAGGATGGTCTTGGCGGTGTCCACACCCGTCTGGACAGCACTCTTGGCTTCACCCACAGCCCCGGTGACGCCAGCGGACACTGTGTCTATGGTGCCAGTCAGGATGGTCTTGGCGGTGTCCACACCCGTCTGGACAGCACTCTTGGCTTCACCCACAGCCCCGGTGACGCCAGCGGACACTGTGTCTATGGTGCCAGTCAGGATGGTCTTGGCGGTGTCCACACCCGTCTGGACAGCACTCTTGGCTTCACCCACAGCCCCGGTGACGCCAGCGGACACTGTGTCTATGGTGCCAGTCAGGATGGTCTTGGCGGTGTCCACACCCGTCTGGACAGCACTCTTGGCTTCACCCACAGCCCCGGTGACGCCAGCGGACACTGTGTCTATGGTGCCAGTCAGGATGGTCTTGGCGGTGTCCACACCCGTCTGGACAGCACTCTTGGCTTCACCCACAGCCCCGGTGACGCCAGCGGACACTGTGTCTATGGTGCCAGTCAGGATGGTCTTGGCGGTGTCCACACCCGTCTGGACAGCACTCTTGGCTTCACCCACAGCCCCGGTGACGCCAGCGGACACTGTGTCTATGGTGCCAGTCAGGATGGTCTTGGCGGTGTCCACACCCGTCTGGACAGCACTCTTGGCTTCACCCACAGCCCCGGTGACGCCAGCGGACACTGTGTCTATGGTGCCAGTCAGGATGGTCTTGGCGGTGTCCACACCCGTCTGGACAGCACTCTTGGCTTCACCCACAGCCCCGGTGACGCCAGCGGACACTGTGTCTATGGTGCCAGTCAGGATGGTCTTGGCGGTGTCCACACCCGTCTGGACAGCACTCTTGGCTTCACCCACAGCCCCGGTGACGCCAGCGGACACTGTGTCTATGGTGCCAGTCAGGATGGTCTTGGCGGTGTCCACACCCGTCTGGACAGCACTCTTGGCTTCACCCACAGCCCCGGTGACGCCAGCGGACACTGTGTCTATGGTGCCAGTCAGGATGGTCTTGGCGGTGTCCACACCCGTCTGGACAGCACTCTTGGCTTCACCCACAGCCCCGGTGACGCCAGCGGACACTGTGTCTATGGTGCCAGTCAGGATGGTCTTGGCGGTGTCCACACCCGTCTGGACAGCACTCTTGGCTTCACCCACAGCCCCGGTGACGCCAGCGGACACTGTGTCTATGGTGCCAGTCAGGATGGTCTTGGCGGTGTCCACACCCGTCTGGACAGCACTCTTGGCTTCACCCACAGCCCCGGTGACGCCAGCGGACACTGTGTCTATGGTGCCAGTCAGGATGGTCTTGGCGGTGTCCACACCCGTCTGGACAGCACTCTTGGCTTCACCCACAGCCCCGGTGACGCCAGCGGACACTGTGTCTATGGTGCCAGTCAGGATGGTCTTGGCGGTGTCCACACCCGTCTGGACAGCACTCTTGGCTTCACCCACAGCCCCGGTGACGCCAGCGGACACTGTGTCTATGGTGCCAGTCAGGATGGTCTTGGCGGTGTCCACACCCGTCTGGACAGCACTCTTGGCTTCACCCACAGCCCCGGTGACGCCAGCGGACACTGTGTCTATGGTGCCAGTCAGGATGGTCTTGGCGGTGTCCACACCCGTCTGGACAGCACTCTTGGCTTCACCCACAGCCCCGGTGACGCCAGCGGACACTGTGTCTATGGTGCCAGTCAGGATGGTCTTGGCGGTGTCCACACCCGTCTGGACAGCACTCTTGGCTTCACCCACAGCCCCGGTGACGCCAGCGGACACTGTGTCTATGGTGCCAGTCAGGATGGTCTTGGCGGTGTCCACACCCGTCTGGACAGCACTCTTGGCTTCACCCACAGCCCCGGTGACGCCAGCGGACACTGTGTCTATGGTGCCAGTCAGGATGGTCTTGGAGGTGTCCACACCCGTCTGGACGGCACTCTTGGCCACACCTACTGCACCGGTGAGTCCAGTGGACACAGTGTCTTTGGTGCCAGTGAGGACTGTCTTGGTGGTGTCCACACCGGTCTGAACAGCACCCTTGGCCATGCCCATTGCCCCGGTGAGGCCAGTGGACACAGTGTCTTTGGTGCCAGTGAGAACAGTCTTGGTGGTGTCCATGCCAGTTTGCACGGCACCTTTGGCTACGTCCATTGCCCCCGTGAGGCCAGTGGACACTGTGTTTTTGGTGCCAGTTAGGATGGTCTTGGAGGTGTCCATGCCAGTTTGGACGGCACCCTTGGCTACGTCCATTGCCCCCGTGAGGCCAGTGGACACAGTGTCTTTGGTGCCAGTGAGGACCGTCTTGGTGGTATCCACACCGGTCTGGACAGCACCCTTAGTCATACCCATTGCCCCGGTGAGGCCAGCAGACACTGTGTTTTTGGTGCCAGTCAGGACTGTTTTGGTGGTGTCCATGCCAGTTTGGACGACACCTTTGGCCACACCCACTGCCCCGGTGAGTCCAGTGGACACTGTGTCTTTGGTGCCGGTCAGGATGGTCTTAGAGGTGTCCACACCCGTCTGAACAGCACCCTTGGCCATTCCCATTGCCCCAGTGAGGCCAGCGGACACTGTGTCTTTGGTGCCAGTCAGGACTGTCTTGGTGGTGTCCAGGCCCCCCTGTACAGCCCCTGTCGCCATATTCACAGCACCAGTCACTCCACTGCAGATGGTGTTCTTGGTGCCAGTGAGGAACGTCTTGGTGGTATCCACACCAGTCTGAAAGGTCCCTTTGGCTATCTCCACTGTCCCTGCGACCCCACTGGCCACAGCCTCCTTGGTTCCAGTGTGGTCAGGTTGGGACATGCCAAGAGCTCCCTGAAGCACACCTTTAGCTGAGTCTGTCACGTTGGCCACTCCGGAGGAGATGGCATCTTTCGTTTTGGTCATCGTGGAGCACACCTGGTCCTTCACCCCAGAGATCATCTGATGAGAAAGGACATGTGTGGTCACGAGCAGAGCCGGGAGGCAGACTTCTGCCAGCCTGATTCCTGATGGGCCTGGTAAGTGGTATCTGTCACCCAGAGGCCCTGCCTCCTTCCCACCCGCGAGGCACCCACGGCCTTCAGGACACAGCCTTCACAAGCCCATCACTACGTCAAATCACTTCTCTGATCCAATAGGTCCCCTGCTGACAGCGGGTCCCTAACACCTCTGCAACCCTTGACAAGGTGCCTTGGTGGTATCCATGCCTTAGGCTCAGCAAGCCATTGAATTATGTTTTTTTGTTCTTTTTTAGCAGAATTTGAGCCTGGTTTCCCCATTACAGTGGGGAGACCAAATTGTTCATTAAAATGAATGTATTCAACTAAGAGAAGGGAATAAACATTTGGGAAAGTGGTAACCACACAAGTACAGGGACAAGTATTGGGTTCGAGCCATAGGAAATTGTCAATAACTAATTATTTTTAACCTACCCAATGGAAGTTTCAACCCATACCAAAGGGTTGTAATGGCCTCAGGGTTGCCACAACTCAGGTTCAGCCGTGAGTATGCTATTTTTTATTCAGTGATTCTCACCTGGGGAGATCCAGCCTCCTCCCCCCACCCCCCCATCTCCCTGGAGACATTGGGCAAGTTTGGGGACATCTGTGATTGTTGTGGCTGGGGGCACGGGGCGCTACTTACATTGATTGCCTGTGGGCCTGGCATGCTGTGCAACATCCCATAGTGCCCAGGACAGACCCACAACCAAGAATGATCCTGCCCCAAATAGCCACAGTACTGACATTGAGAAGTTTATTCTCACTACCTGCTTCCTGCCCAGGATTAAATCAAGTGGGCACCTTGGGATCTGTGCCCGCAGAGACCCAGGTTCAAATCTCGGCTTTACTGCACTCGCTGTGTGAAATCCACATTCCCCTCTCTGAGCCAGTTTCTGAAAAGTGATTAAAATAGCACCACCTTCAAGGATTATGGATTAAGGATTATCTGCACTTTGCAGATAGTAGGTGTTCAGTTAACATGAGTGTAGAGGAGTAGAAAAGAATTGCATAAATGGAGAAGGGGCAAGGGGTCTGTTTTAATTTCAGCCAGAAGGACCTGGCGAGGTTCTTCCCCTTCTGAGATGCTAAGATCTGCTTGGGCTGAGGGCAGAGGGAGACTAGGAAGACCAGAGTGGGGGCATGTGCTGGGCGGAAGAGTTCCTATCAGGGCTCTGCACCCTCTGTGGCCTCAGCTGGCTTACATCAGTCCCTCCACTTGGCCCAGCCTTGGGGACAGGATAACATGGGCGGTCACCATGTATTCAGGACCAAGGGTGGATGTAGCGTTGGTGTAGTTCAGCCTCTGACTGCCCCTGGGTTCAAGTCGCAAACTACCATGACCTGGTATATGACTTCTGGCGGGCGTCTCAGTTTCTCTGTGCCTCAGCTGTCGTGCGGGGAACTACTTACTCCCTTCCTCACAGGGTGGTTGGGAGGATTAACTATTAAGCAGCACGTATAAAGCACAGTGTCCAGAGCCTGACACATGGTGAGTTGCTGTTTGGTTCCCATCATGCTAAACAGAGAGTGAGGGGTGGTCTGTAGTTTGGAGCCTGTCCATGTGGGCAGTGAGGCAGTACTGCACCCATTTCACAGGTGTGGCAGTGGAGGCTTAGAGGGATGTCTGCTCTCTCCGTGGGCAGGAACCAAAACATTCCCGAGGGAGGCAGAGGCCATCAGACCAGACTCTGACAGCCACTCACCTTGTCTGAAGGCGACGGCAGCTTTTCCACCTCTCTGGCCATCTGCTTCGGGTCGGTAGCTGCTATGGGGACAGAAGCTGGTCAGGCACCCCAGGGAATGCGAGGGAAGCGGGCTGGCATCAGCTGCTCTGGTGCCCATTGCGCAATTGGCGGGCACAGCCCAAAAGGTCAGGAATGTCCCAGCCACTCCGCCAGGGACAGCAGGAGGTGACATCTATGGCCACGGGCTTGGCTCCTTTCGACCCCCCAGGACCTCAGTCCCCTGGAACTGAACATCTCCCTGGTGTTTTCTCCACTTGAGTCCTGGGTGCTGGACGCCCACCCAGGGAGATTGCAGAGAGAGGAGTCAGGGCCCCGCCCCACCTCTGCTACAGCTGGCAGTTGCCTGTCAGGCCTGGGTATGTGGAGCAGAAGTCAGCTGCCAAGGGCTCGGCCCAGAATGAGGCCCAGCCTGGGCAGCCACCCAAACCTGGGTCGTCTCCCCCTCCCCCACCCGTGCACCAGCCCCCCCGATGTGTCCTGAGTACTCTGGCTGAGTAACGAGGGTGGGGAGACCCCCAGGCTCTGCCATCCCAGGGAAGCCACTGTCCCTCTTGGGGAACCAGGATTGCCATCCCCAACAAGGTCTGCCTGCAGAACACCCAGGCCCTGGTCCACAGGCATCAGAAATGGGTGATGGGAAGTGGGGTGGGGGTGGAAAGTGTGGATGGTACTGAAGGGAGCTAGGCTGTGTTCACACCCCCACTTTTGCTGATTATGCACCTTGGGCCACTCACTTGCCATATTTATGCCTCAGTTTCCTCATCTGGTGCTAAATGAGTGTTGACAGTCATACAGTGTCGATTTAGATGATGCAGGCACATATGAAATGTCCCAAAGTGGCCAGAAGTTCCTGCTAGGGGATTTCCTATTCCTGGAGTCTCCCCAGACCCCCCACCCTATCGAGCTGTGTACTCACCCTGGGCCTGGGGATGGGCGGCATCGGGGGTAGGAGTACCTGTGGAATCAGCTACTGGCTGGGCCTCTCCTGCTGAGCTGTGAGCGTTGGCCACCAGGTTCCGGGCAGAACTGAAGCCAGGCAGGAACCCCAAGAAGTTGCTCAGGGTCTATGTGGGGAGGGGACAGCATGAGCAGGTTGGGCCGAGATGGGATGGGGTGGTGGGAAGCATCAAACAAACCCTGAGCTTCCACACCTCTCAGGCTCTTGTTTTTGGGTGATCTTGAGTTTCAAGCCTCAGTTTCCTAGTCTGGACAATGGGCAGATGCAGCCGGCCTCCCATGGAAGGAGGAAAAGGTCCTCCTTTGAGTCTCCAAGGCCGCCTTCCACAGCCCCCATTTCACAAATGGGTAAACTGAGGCTGAGAGGGGTGCTGTGGCTAGCCGAGGGTCACAAAGTAGGAAAGGAGCTGAAGTCTGCCCCCACCCCCAGCTTGGGACAGGAGGGAAGAGTTAGCACCTTGGCTCTCAGAGCCCTCCCACCCCACCCAGAAAACTCCCAGATCTGAGGGCTGTGGCAGTCACCTTTGCAAGGTTCTGGGGGTCTCCAGGCCTTAGCAGGGATCTCCCCCTCCCATACCTCTCCTCACCTTGCCCTTGGGTTTGTGGGGCTTCCGGCCTCCTTCCTCTTGAGCAGACATGTTAATACTCTAAGCAGCTGGGAGGGGGCAGAGATGGTTTATAAATGGGGTTCCCACGCCTCCTGCCCCGCACCCATAGCCCCCAGACTTTCCCTGACACCCACCTGGAGATCTTGCCTCACCCTGGCATTGCTCACCTGGACTGCGAGAGGGTCCTTTGGAGTGACTGGCGGCGCAGCTGGCAGCTGGCTCTGCTTTCAGCTCCCAGGCCTTATAGGGTCTGGGGCAGGCGCAGGCCTGGCCTGCAGAGGCAGGCAGCCAGCCTGCTGGGGGAGGGCCCTAGAGGGTCACGTGCCTGCCTGCCTGGCCCAGCTTGCATGGGCCCCGGGCCCAGCACCTTTCCCCTGCTCTCAGTACTGGGCCACCTCTGCCTACAGCACCCGCCCCACCAAGCTGAGTGATTCCCAGGCCATCCTATGTTCCTTAGACACAGCCTATATGCCCTCTTGGTCTATTCTTTCCAGCCATGAGATGGACATGGTTCAAATCTCAGTTCTGGGATGCCTTGCTGCAGTTTCCCCTTCGGCTCCTCACTGGCCCACAATGTTGTGCCCTTCATTTCCCCTGGCTCTTACCTCTTTGATCAGTCCAGCCACAGGGGCCTCCTTGCAATTTCTCCAAATCTTTGGGCATGGTCCTGCCTCAGGGCCTTTGCATGGGCTATGCCTTCTGCCTATAGCACTTTCCCCCAAACATCCATATAGCTGCCTCCCTCCCCGTGTTCCCTGCAATAGAACAGTACCTGGTACACAGTTGGCACTTAATAAATGTTTGATTAAATGGGCCAACTCATAGGGTGGTTGTGAGTGTGAAATGAGGTCACACATGTAACCTGTTTATCCGTGTGCCTGGTACCCAGCAGGTGCTCAGCAGACATGAGCTTAGCATGGTCCAGGCAGAGAGGAGCAGAGTCTGTCCTCGGCAGGGGTGGGACATGCCACTCTCCGGAAGGGACTTCCCTTGAGAAAGGGGACGACACAGACCAAAACAGCTCCAACAGAGCCTGGAACATAGGATGGCTTGTGACTCACTCAGCTTGGTGGGGGCGGGTGCTGTGGGCAGAGGTGGCCCAGTACTGAGAGCAGGGGAAAGGTGCTGGGCCCGGGGCCCGTGAGAAGCAGGCCTGGTAGGCTTGGGCCAATCCAAGGTGGCTTCCTGGAGGAGGTATTTTGTACCTAAGGCCACAGAGCCAGGAAGTGGCAGAGACAGGATTTAGACCCAGACCCTGTGCCTGTGTGTAGAGCGGACTGTCTGTGGATGGGTGCTCAGATGAGCAGAGGAGTGACTGCCATGCCCTTCCTGGCCTGCCCCTGAAACAGGGATCACAGCCATGCTGGTGGGGGTTGGGAAAGATCCAGCTGGTGGCTCTGGGCTCTGAGCTGGGAGAAGGGAGGGTCCTGCTGTTGGGCCTGATGACCCTCAGGTTGTCTCCTTGGAGTCAGTCAAGGAACAAAAAGGGGGATTCCCCAGCCTCTCTCCTTAGCCAACACTTCCTAAAGGTGACATTGCAGGACTGGGGAGCTGGATCCTGGGTGTGTCCCTCCCTCCAGCAAAAGTAATAAAATGGCCTGGCCAGTGTGGTTCTGGTTGAGCATCGACCTATGAACCAGGAGGTCACGGTTCGATTCTCAGTCATGACACATGCCTGGTTTGTGGGCTCGATCCCCGTGTAGGGCATGCAGGAGACACCCAATCAATGATTCTCTCTTATCGATGTTTCTATCGCTCTCCTTCCTTCCTCTCTGAAATCAATACCAACTCAGGTTTTGTCCCCTTTCTGGCCATAGCTCTTCAGGGCTCCCACCTGCCTTGGCCCAAGTTCTCCCTGTGGCCCATAGGCCCTGGACGACTTGCCCCTGTCCTCTCTCCCTGCCTTCGTGTACTCCCTTCCTCCCCCCCGTCCCCCCCACTCTGCTCCAGCCACACAGCCCTCCTTACTGTTTCTCCAACAGGCCAGGCAAGGTCCTGCCCCGGGATCTTGGTGCAGGCTGTGCCTTCTACCTGGAATGTTCTCCAGTCTTTGCTCATATGTCACCTCAGAGGGCCTTTCTGGAACCCCTCTTTTATTTAAAAATAAACATCTCTCCTCAAATGCCCACATACTACCCATTGTCCTCCCCTTTTATTTTTCTTATTCTACTAACACTAGAAATAGTAATTTACTTATTTTTCTTGTACATTGCCTGTTCCATACTGTATTGTCAGGTCATAGAGGGGCAGGAATTTTATCCATTTTGTCACTGCCGTGTCCCCAAGGTGGAGAACTGCCTAGCACACAGCACATGCTTTATAAATACAGGTTGTTCCAAAAAAAAGTTTACACACTTTTAACAGCTGATAGCTCAATTGATGTTTCTTTTCAGATTTAACCCATTGGAATTAGGAATTATTCAAAGTGTGTATATATTTTGGGGGATACCCTGTATTTGTTGAATGAATGAGTGAATAATAGCTTCTGTGGGTGAGGTGTTTACTAGGACTGGGCATGACTTACCCATTTTTCTGAGGAGAAACGTTTAGAGGAAAAATAAGTTGCCTAACCACCTGCAGGCAAGGCTGGGACTCAGCCCCAGGGCAACAGGGAGCCAGGCGGTTCCGAGCAGGGGCAGGGAAGTGAATCCGACCAGTGGGAAGTGGTCAGGGCTCCCAGAGCTGCCCCTGGGCTGGGTCCCAGGGAAGCCAGGGGCCATCCTGACCTCACCGAATCATGCTATGGTTTCCCAACACCCTGCCTGGCCACTAGGGAGTCTGAGGGGCAGCCAAGAATGTGGTCAGAAGATGGGAGGACCCCCATGAGACTGGCCAATGGCCCTTGCCCTGTCTCTGTCTCCCCAGTCCTGATCAGTGGAGAAACCACAGCAAGATCAGCAACGGTGGGTGCAGGGAGGTGTGCATAGGAGGACTGACCCCTCTAACTTCTTTCTCCTCAAGATCCTGCTCCCTGCAGTTCCAAGACATTCATTTATACTAGTGTGAACTTTCACTCCAGGAAGCTACATCTGAGTGCAATGCTTAAGCCAGGTGGGCTGGACACTAAAGGTAGAAGTACAGACAGGATGGCAAGCGGGAGGGAGGGGTTGGGGGGAAGTAGGCATCACTCCTTTCAAATCTCGAACCCTGGCTTGTGTCATACATCACACCTCTGAGGCCCCCCGGGCGCCCTGTAACTGAGACTCATTCCAGCCAGAACAGAGGCCATGGGCCTTTGAACAACATGAAGCACCTTTATTCTGGAGAGCATACCCCAAACAGCAAAGCAAGTGGGTCCGGCTGGGCCAATTGGTGCAGCCCGGCATCTTTGGGGACCCCTCAGTCCAGGATGTACAAGCTGGGGGAGCAGGTGGATGCTTGTTTTTCAAAACCCCAAATATAAGCCACTGGGCAAAATGTGTTTCTCTGAGGAGCTTTGATCAGCTTCTTGGGGTGAGGAACAGGTGACTACAGACAGATGAATCCAGCTGGAGACTAGTCAGACCTGACTCAGGTTCATGTCCTCATATGTCCAAGGGAAAGATTGGGAAGGGTCTGATGTCAGAGTAGCTGGTCCAGAGTCAGAATTCCACGGGAACCCCCAACTCCGTGCCTGGGCCAGGGTAAAGGCATTGGCTGTTGTGCTTCTGTGTGGCCACTAGAGGGCAGCAGGCTATGGCAGTGTAGGGCAGCCTCCTGCTGCCACTGGCAGTGAGGCTCCAAGGGATCAGAAGTCCAGCTCTGGCATCAAGGTGTGTTTGGGGCGACTGGGGGGCTCAGGCTCCTCTGGAATGTCCTCCGGGAGACCTAGCCCATTCCGGTGCTGGGCCTGCCAGGCTCTCTGCTGGGCCGGCCAGTCCAGATGCGCCCAGCGGGGGTCAGGGCCCCCCACGACCTCGTCCACCAGGTTCTCCAGGCCAGGTAGGGGCTCAGACCGCTCTATGAGGATGGGCGAAAAGGGCCCCACGAGCCAGGGCAGCGGCATGGTCTGCACCACCAACTCTAGCAGCTCGTCCACGCAGGCATGGGCCCGGGCCACTCTGCCCCGGCCCTCGGCCAACACCGAGGCTGACACATCCCTGAAGCAACGCGCGTCAGCGAAGGCCGCCTGCAGGGTGTCCACGCTGCGCCGCACCTCGGCCACCTTCTCCTGGGCATCCCGGGGCAGGCCCCGCACGCTGGTTTCCAGTGCGTCCACTGAGCTCTGTAGCTCCCGCATCAGACTTCGGGACAATACCAGTGTTTCCAGCTCCACCTGTGGGGAGGGGAGGCAAGGGGGGCCTCAGTGTTCCAGATGGACACATGCTGAGACGGCTGTCCTGCCTCAGTTTACTCATGGACACACCACGACTGTCACCCTGCCTCAGTCTCCCCATAGGTACACACTGGGACCGAGCCCTACCTCCCTTTTCCCATGGACACAATGGTATTGCCACCCCGTCTCAATCTCCCCATGGACACAATGGGACTATCTCCCTGCCTTTTTTTCACCCATGGACACAATGAGACAGCCCTGCCTCCCAAAAGCAGGAATCGGGAAGGTTTCCCTCAAAGACCCACAAAGAGACTTTCCTGCATCAGTTTCTCTAATGGATACCCAACAGGACTGCATCACTCTGTCTCAGTTTCCTCCCTGCACACAATAGACCAAGCCCTGCCTTAGTTTCTCCTGTGGGCACCCAATAGGACTGTCAACTTACCTCAGTTTCCCCATGGGCACTCCAACCAGCTACCTCAGCAGTTGGTTATTCATAGCTCAGTCATGGCCCCTGGCAACCCCGGGTGGATCCAGAACCACTCCCATCCTACCGTCCTACCTGACTACGGCGGCGGCCGTTCTCCAGGGTGCTCAGACTCCAGTCCCCCCACAGCTCATGCACTTTCCCAGGGCGGGCTGGGGTGGTGGGGGTCATTCCACACTGCACGAGGTCAATCTGTGGGAACCGGAAAAGTGTTTATCAGAGGTGGAGGACTTGGGGGGTTGGAGGAGCCGGCCTCAATAAGCACTTCGGGAACACTTGCTGTGTGCAGCCTTCTGCACCTGCTGACCCAGCCTGGAGCCTGTTCATTGAATCCTCTGCCTCTGCTGACCCTGTGACCTGTGGTTCTCCTGAAGCTCAGACTCACCGCCAGGCATGTGCTCATGCTGGTCCCTCAGCCACGTACACTCTTCCCTCCGCCTCACCTCCCCCGCTGGTTCATTCCAGTTCAAGTCTCAATGTGGACATCACCCCCTCCAGGAAGCCCTCCCTCCTCCCCTTCTGGCTGCGTGATCCATCTCTGGGTCCCAGAGCACCTGCCGTGTTCCCCATTTTGACCCTGATCCCCTGACTGGCCTGTGAGCGTCCTGAAGGAGCACTGTGTCTTCAGTACCCAGGACAGGGCATGTGTTAAAAGATGAATAGAAA